TAAATTGTTTTAAAAAGGGACCAAAATAGTGGAGAAAGCTACATTTTGTAACTTCAATTAATATATTTGTTATTACAACTAAATATATATTAGTAAGACTATAAAATAAGCTAATATATACTGTAGAGCCGTCTGCGGTCTAAACAATATACCAGTCTAATGTCTAAACTAAAACCAGTCTAAAGTCCAAACTATGAACCAGTCTACTATTTAAACTATAGCCTAAGGTATAGGCTGGTCTATAGTCTGAACTATAGACAAACCACAAGTCTGAATTAAAGACTAGTCTATAGTCTGAATTATAGACTCGTCATTAGTCTCAGTTCCATTTCTCTTCTAGTTCAGGTCTATAATCTGAACTATAGACTGATCTATTATCTGAACTACAGACTGTCTTGTCTGAACTATAGAATAGTCGTAGTTCAGTTCTAGTTTAGTTCTAGTTCAGTTCTAGTTCAGTTCTAGTTCAGTTCTAGTTCAGTTCTAGTTCAGTTCTAGTTCAGTTCTAGTTCAGTTCTAGTTCTAGTTCTAGTTCAGTTCTAGTTCAGTTCTAGTTAGTTCAGTTCTAGTTCAGTTCTAGTTCAGTTCAGTTCTAGTTCAGTTCTAGTTCAGTTCTAGTTCAGTTCTAGTTCAGTTCTAGTTCAGTTCTAGTTCAGTTCTAGTTCAGTTCTAGTTCAGTTCTAGTTCAGTTCTAGTTCAGTTCTAGTTCAGTTCTAGTTCAGTTCTAGTTCAGTTCTAGTTCAGTTCTAGTTCAGTTCTAGTTCAGTTCTAGTTCAGTTCTAGTTCAGTTCTAGTTCAGTTCTAGTTCAGTTCTAGTTCAGTTCTAGTTCAGTTCTAGTTCAGTTCTAGTTCAGTTCTAGTTCAGTTCTAGTTCAGTTCTAGTTCAGTTCTAGTTCAGTTCTAGTTCAGTTCTAGTTCAGTTCTAGTTCAGTTCTAGTTCAGTTCTAGTTCAGTTCAGTTCTAGTTCAGTTCTAGTTCAGTTCTAGTTCAGTTCTAGTTCAGTTCTAGTTCAGTTCTAGTTCAGTTCTAGTTCAGTTCTAGTTCAGTCTAGTTCAGTTCTAGTTCAGTTCTAGTTCAGTTCTAGTTCAGTTCTAGTTCAGTTCTAGTTCAGTTCTAGTTCAGTTCTAGTTCAGTTTAGTCAGTCTAGTTCAGTTCTAGTTCAGTTCTAGTTCAGTTCTAGTCAGTTCTAGTTCAGTTCTAGTTCAGTTCTAGTTCAGTTCTAGTTCAGTTCTAGTTCAGTTCTAGTTCAGTTCTAGTTCAGTTCTAGTTCAGTTCTAGTTCAGTTCTAGTTCAGTTCTAGTTCAGTTCTAGTTCAGTTCTAGTTCAGTTCTAGTTCAGTTCTAGTTCAGTTCTAGTTCAGTTCTAGTTCAGTTCTAGTTCAGTTCTAGTTCAGTTCTAGTTCAGTTCTAGTTCAGTTCTAGTTCAGTTCTAGTTCAGTTCTAGTTCAGTTCTAGTTCAGTTCTAGTTCAGTTCTAGTTCAGTTCTAGTTCAGTTCTAGTTCAGTTCTAGTTCAGTTCTAGTTCAGTTCTAGTTCAGTTCTAGTCAGTTCTAGTTCAGTTCTAGTTCAGTTCTAGTTCAGTTCTAGTTCAGTTCTAGTTCAGTTCTAGTTCAGTTCTAGTTCTCAGTTCTAGTTCAGTTCTAGTTCAGTTCTAGTTCAGTTCTAGTTCAGTTCTAGTTCAGTCTAGTTCAGTCTAGTTCAGTTCTAGTTCAGTTCTAGTTCAGTTCTAGTTCAGTTCTAGTTCAGTTCTAGTTCAGTTCTAGTTCAGTTCTAGTTCAGTTCTAGTTCAGTTCTAGTTCAGTTCTAGTTCAGTTCTAGTTCAGTTCTAGTTCAGTTCTAGTTCAGTTCTAGTTCAGTTCTAGTTCAGTTCTAGTTCAGTTCTAGTTCAGTTCCAGTTCAGTTCCAGTTCAGTTGTAGTTCAGTTGAAGTTCAGTTCTAGTTCAGTTCTAGTTCAGTTCTAGTTCAGTTCAGTTCAGTTCTAATTCAGTTCTAATATATAGATATAAAGAATAGCCAGAACAATAGACAATTTTAGTCTGAACTATGGTCTAACCTATAGCCTAAACATGGATCTATAATCCGATCTGTTGACTAGTTTATTGTCGCAACTATGAGTGATATAACAGTTTTGCGAACTGAACTTGATACCTTGCTAGTCATGCAGCGATTTATAACGAGAATAGGGTCTTCTCACCGTTACATATTTATAACGTATTTAATTATTTAAAACCTTTTAATTAATTTTCTTTCACATAAACAATTTAAAATTAATTAGGCTTAAACAAAATACTAAAGCACGTAATATTATGTAATCAAATACTCATTCCCATAACGTAAGTTAATGTAAACGTAACGTATGTTTTTTCATATTAAATATTCTTATTTAAAATCTGAAAAAAGAACAAAAAGGTGCTGAATGATTATACCTTGGAGGTAGGAAAAAGCCAATGATGGATTTACATTTTATATGTTTTATTTATGAATAATTTTCTTTCTTTTTAAAAGAAACTCTCACATATGAATGTTAAACATGATTTGTCATGATATATATGTTTTATAAAAAATTCTTAGCCGATAAATAAATTCATTAAATTAATTCCAGACACATGATGTGTGTGTGTTTGTAAGTGTATAAACACACGTATTTTTGCCATCAGAATTTTAACTCCAATATGTAATACAATTTTTATACATTTTTAAGAAACAGTTTTTATGTCGTTTAGTCATTCTTATTTTTTCAACACATTTCATTACTTCTTGTCTTTACAATTTCAGTTCAAGTCAGTGTTTTTGTTTTTATCTTATTTGTTAGAATGTCGTCTTTCAGTATTCTTTTGTGTCTCATCAGGTGACATTTTGAATTATGGTTTTATTGTTTTTAGCAAACTGACTATAGACATCAGTTGGGGAATTACAAAAAAAATAAATATATATAAAAATGTTAAAGGAAAAATATTCCATAATTCTTATAAAATGTAAAATGAAGGATGAAATAAAATTACTACAGACATATAAATATTACAATAGATATTAGGGGCGTTTGTTTTACGAATAACTTTTTCCAAATTTCAAAGTAAAATTCAGACAAATAAAAGTCTTCTTTTAAACCCTTCATATTAACTGTGTATCATAAACAACCCATTTCTATTGTCCCCAAATATCCAGAATTAAAAAGTTTTCACACATAAAAATAACCTCCCTAAGTTTTTTATCTTTGTACAAATGTGTGATTTGGAATGTGTGAGAAATTTCGAAATGTACAAGATTTAAAATATATAAATTCTAACAAAACTTTCTATGAGTAAAATGATTGAATAATTTTAGGATTTTCAAAAGCTTTTTTCTTGAACAGGAATGAAATCTTTAAAGAAAGATAAATTACAAATGTACAAATGATTTTTTTGTGGGAAATATTAAAGTTTTATTAAATTTTGATATTTTAAAGGAATTCAGAAGAGAATAAAGGTCAGTAACGAGTCCTTATTCCAAAAAGAGTTCAGTTCTAGTACTAGTTCAGTTCTATTACAAGTACTAGTTCAGTTCTAGTTCATTCCTAGTTCAGTTCTAGTTCAGTTCTAATTCAGTTCTAGTTCAGTTCTAGTTCAGTTCTAGTTCAGTTCTAGTTCAGTTCTAGTTCAGTTCTAGTTCAGTTCTAGTTCAGTTCTAGTTCAGTTCTAGTTCAGTTCTAGTTCAGTTCTAGTTCAGTTCTAGTTCAGTTCTAGTTCTAGTTCAGTTCTAGTTCAGTTCTAGTTCAGTTCTAGTTCAGTTCTAGTTCAGTTCTAGTATCAGTTCTAGTTCAGTTCTAGTTCAGTTCTAGTTCAGTAGTCTAGTTCAGTTCTAGTTCAGTTCAGTTCTAGTTCAGTTCTAGTTCAGTTCTAGTTCAGTTCTAGTTCAGTTCTAGTTCATAGTTCTAGTTCTAGTTCTAGTTCAGTTCTAGTTCAGTTCTAGTTCAGTTCTAGTTCAGTTCTAGTTCAGTTCTAGTTCAGTTCTAGTTCAGTTCTAGTTCAGTTCTAGTTCAGTTCTAGTTCAGTTCTAGTTCAGTTCTAGTTCAGTTCTAGTTCAGTTCTAGTTCAGTTCTAGTTCAGTTCTAGTTCAGTTCTAGTTCAGTTCTAGTTCAGTTCTAGTTCAGTTCTAGTTCAGTTCTAGTTCAGTTCTAGTTCAGTTCTAGTTCAGTTCTAGTTCAGTTCTAGTTCAGTTCTAGTTCAGTTCTAGTTCAGTTCTAGTTCAGTTCTAGTTCAGTTCTAGTTCAGTTCTAGTTCAGTCTAGTTCAGTTCTAGTTCAGTTCTAGTTCAGTTCTAGTTCAGTTCAGTTCTAGTTCAGTTCAGTTCTAGTTCAGTTCTAGTTCAGTTCTAGTTCAGTTCTAGTTCAGTTCTAGTTCAGTTCTAGTTCAGTTCTAGTTCAGTTCTAGTTCAGTTCTAGTTCAGTTCTAGTTCAGTTCTAGTTCAGTTCTAGTTCAGTTCTAGTTCAGTTCTAGTTCAGTTCTAGTTCAGTTCTAGTTCAGTTCTAGTTCAGTTCTAGTTCAGTTCTAGTTCAGTTCTAGTTCAGTTCTAGTTCAGTTCTAGTTCAGTTCTAGTTCAGTTCTAGTTCAGTTCTAGTTCAGTTCTAGTTCAGTTCTAGTTCAGTTCTAGTTCAGTTCTAGTTCAGTTCTAGTTCAGTTCTAGTTAAGTTCTAGTTCAGTTCTAGACATGTTTAGGGCCTATAACTGGTCAAAAAGGAGACCTATCTGTGAATGCCTTTATATTACTAATACCTTTAATTTAAAATCCTTACTATCGTTATTAAACCTTTATGACATTTACACCCCATACACCTACAGATCTAATATAATTCATAAATTTATTTAATAGTCATAAATAAAAATTGTTTATGTAGACAAATGATAAGATTTTATTTATTTTAATAGCAAAACACACTAGGTACACGTTAAAATTTAGTAAAACATTTTTATTAATAATTTATTAATTTTATTCCTTTATTTTTTATCCTCTCTATCTCTATCTAGGATTGTCATGGCTCATATTCACAACATAATGCCGCTCCCATACAAGATGATACACAAAACTATATAGTTTTAGATGGTTTTCAAAATGCCACCCATACACAAGTGGAATTTTATAGACAAATTGAAACTTGTGATCCCTACGATGTACCATTGGGGGTGAGTAATTCAGTCTGACAGACATCTAGTCAGTCATATTTTTAAAGTATATAAAAAAAAGTGTATATATTTTTTATTTAGTATAAATATTTAAGGAAACACAAACACATTCGATAATCATCATCTAAATGCTACGCAATAAATAAAACACAAAAAATGAACATAAAAAGAATAATATCTAAATATCTACTACAAGCCACAAAATAAGCCAAAGTAATAATAATGTTAATAACAATAATTGTAATGATAATAATAAATTTGGGATAAAAAAAGAGAGAGAAAAGAAACACTTAAATATGCATATGTTTTTGGTGATGATGCTGATGACATGTGTTTGAATTGCGTAATTTTAAAAAGCCCATAATATCCTCGTAATTTAAACCTAAAAGAAATGAGTAGATTAGGTTGTTGAAAATTGGCAAAGAAGTGGTTTACACTATCAGCGAATATACTTACAGATCTAATTTTTATCTAGTTCTAGTTTTAGTTCCGTTTTAGTTAGGTTTTGGTTCAGATCTAGTGTAGTTCTAGTTCAATTCTAGTTCAGTTCTAGTTCAGTTCAAGTTCAGTTCTAGTTCAGTTCTAGTTCAGTTCTAGTTAGGTTTTAGTTCAGATTCTAGTTGTAGTTCTATGTTCATTTCATAGTTCAGTTCTAGTTCAGTTCTTAGTTGCAGTTCTAGTTCATTCTAGTTTCAGTTCTAGTTCAGTTCTAGTTAGTTCTAGTCAGTTCTAGTTCAGTTTCTCTGTTTCGTTTCTAGTTCGGTTCTAGTTCAGTTTCTAGTTCAGTTCTAGTTCAGTTCTAGTCAGTTCTAGTTCAGTTCTCAGTTCTAGTTCAGTTCTAGTTCAGTTCTAGTTCAGTTCTAGTTCAGTTCTAGTTCAGTTCTAGTTCAGTTCTAGTTCAGTTCTAGTTCAGTTCTAGTTCAGTTCTAGTTCAGTTCTAGTTCAGTTCTAGTTCAGTTCTAGTTCAGTTCTAGTTCAGTTCTAGTTCAGTTCTAGTTCAGTTCTAGTTCAGTTCTAGTTCAGTTCTAGTTCAGTTCTAGTTCAGTTCTAGTTCAGTTCTAGTTCAGTAGTTCAGTTCTAGTTCAGTTCTAGTTCAGTTCTAGTTCAGTTCTAGTTCAGTTCTAGTTCAGTTCTAGTTCAGTTCTAGTTCAGTTCTAGTTCAGTTCTAGTTCAGTTCTAGTTCAGTTCTAGTTCAGTTCTAGTTCAGTTCTAGTTCAGTTCTAGTTCAGTTCTAGTTCAGTTCTAGTTCAGTTCTAGTTCAGTTCTAGTTCAGTTCTAGTTCAGTTCTAGTTCAGTTCAGTTCTAGTTCAGTTCTAGTTCAGTTCTAGTTCAGTTCTAGTTCAGTTCTAGTTCAGTTCTAGTTCAGTTCTAGTTCAGTTCTAGTTCAGTTCTAGTTCAGTTCTAGTTCAGTTCTAGTTCAGTTCTAGTTCAGTTCTAGTTCAGTTCTAGTTCAGTTCTAGTCAGTTCTAGTTCAGTTCTAGTTCAGTTCTAGTTCAGTTCTAGTTCAGTTCTAGTTCAGTTCTAGTTCAGTTCTAGTTCAGTTCTAGTTCAGTTCTAGTTCAGTTCTAGTTCAGTTCTAGTTCAGTTCTAGTTCAGTTCTAGTTCAGTTCTAGTTCAGTTCTAGTTCAGTTCTAGTTCAGTTCTAGTTCAGTTCTAGTTCAGTTCTAGTTCAGTTCTAGTTCAGTTCTAGTTCAGTTCTAGTTCAGTTCTAGTTCAGTTCTAGTTCAGTTCTAGTTCAGTTCTAGTTCAGTTCTAGTTCAGTTCTAGTTCAGTTCTAGTTCAGTTCTAGTTCAGTTCTAGTTCAGTTCTAGTTCAGTTCTAGTTCAGTTCTAGTTCAGTTCTAGTTCAGTTCTATTTCAGTTCTAGTTCAGTTCTAGTTCAGTTCTAGTTCAGTTCTAGTTCAGTTCTAGTTCAGTTCTAGTTCAGTTCTAGTTCAGTTCTAGTTCAGTTCTATTTCAGTTCTAGTTCAGTTCTAGTTCAGTTCTAGTTCAGTTCTAGTTCAGTTCTAGTTCAGTTCTAGTTCAGTTCTAGTTCAGTTCTAGTTCAGTTCTAGTTCAGTTCTAGTTCAGTTCTAGTTCAGTTCTAGTTCAGTTCTAGTTCAGTTCTAGTTCAGTTCTAGTTCAGTTCTAGTTCAGTTCTAGTTCAGTTCTAGTTCAGTTCTAGTTCAGTTCTAGTTCAGTTCTAGTTCAGTTCTAGTTCAGTTCTAGTTCAGTTCTAGTTCAGTTCTAGTTCAGTTCTAGTTCAGTTCTAGTTCAGTTCTAGTTCAGTTCTAGTTCAGTTCTAGTTCAGTTCTAGTTCAGTTCTAGTTCAGTTCTAGTTCAGTTCTAGTTCAGTTCTAGTTCAGTTCTAGTTCAGTTCTAGTTCAGTTCTAGTTCAGTTCTAGTTCAGTTCTAGTTCAGTTAGTTTAGTTCTAGTTCAGTAGTTCAGTTCTAGTTCAGTTCTAGTTCAATTCTAATTCAGTTCTAGTTCAGTTCTAGTTCAGTTCTAGTTCAATTCTAGTTCAGTTCTATTTCAGTTCTAGTTCAGTTCTAGTTCAGTTCTAGTTCAGTTCTAGTTCAGTTCTAGTTCAGTTCTAGTTCAGTTCTAGTTCTAGTTCAGTTCTAGTTCAGTTCTAGTTCAGTTCTAGTTCAGTTCTAGTTCAGTTCTAGTTCAGTTCTAGTTCAGTTCTAGTTCAGTTCTAGTTCAGTTCTAGTTCAGTTCTAGTTCAGTTCTAGTTAAGTTCTAATTCAGTTCTAGTTCAGTTCTAGTTCAGTTCTAGTTCAATTCTAGTTCAGTTCTATTTCAGTTCTAGTTCAGTTCTAGTTCAGTTCTAGTTCAGTTCTAGTTCAGTTCTAGTTCAGTTCTAGTTCAGTTCTAGTTCAGTTCTAGTTCAGTTCTAGTTCAGTTCTAGTTCAGTTCTAGTTCAGTTCTAGTTCAGTTCTAGTTCCGTTCTCGTTCAGTTCTAGCATTTCATTACTAGTGTAAACCGTTTTCTTTATCTTTTTAAAAAGTAAACAAATGTTTTTCCTCACACAAACATATTTACCATGTGCTGTTTGTATATCCTCACTGTTATAACGATCCAGTTCCTTGTAAAATTTAACTAATTGCCAATTTTGCCGCAACGTTGCCACGCACAGAGCAGGTGTCAAAGTGGTTTTATTAAATTCCTTATAGGAGCAACAACGTAAAAGTTCACAAATTAATTTTATATTACCGCTACAAGTGGCTAAGGTTAAAGCATTTTGACCTTAATTTTTAATTTATACAAATAGAACAAAAAAAGAGGAGTAGGTGTATCAAATATCTTGTTTTTAACCTAATTTTTTGTATGCATTTTGCTTTACCATAATGATTAACAGCTTTGATATCGGCACCAAATTGTAAAAGGGTTATAACCGCCTCCAAACTGCCCAAATAGCAGGCCTTTAATAAGGCAGTATTGCCGTAGTAATCCGACTGTTCCAGTTCATGTTTCTTATCACGAGCCATTGTGCAGACTATGCGCAAGGAACAAATATCATTTTGGCTAACGCATGCTAATGCTGGGAGGGGGAAAAAGATGTTTATTGTAGGAAATTATATTCAGTTGATATTTCTTAGATACCAGTTAATTTGGCCATTTTGTTTTATTAAAGTTTTAGAAATTTGTTTATATTTTTAAGAATAAATTTGTGTAATTTTTAATTGATTTGTAAAGTTACATATAATTCAGCTATCGATTTTATTGATCTTCAGTTGAATAATCTCTCAAAAATTATTAATGATCTTTAAAGAGAGCTTAGCATCACACTCTCACTAACTCTCTTTGCAAAAACCGTTATTATTTTCAAGCCGTATTTACACATTGAGGTTGCCATATTAATATTAAGAAATTTATTAACCCTTAAACTATTTTTTTCTTCTTTACAGACCGATACCATTAAAGTCCTGTGGTCTTTTGGTGACACCGATCCCATACATGGCAATCTTAAGGGACATGGTAAAAATCGTGGTTCTAAACCTTTGCACCTGCTTGGACCTATGTTTCGTAAGCCTCATTCTGCCAATAGAAATCATCAAGATGTACAAAAATGGGATGTTACTGTGCAGAATGTAAGTTTATATTTTTAAACAAAAATCTTTTCGTATTAATTTTATATACATATGTATGTACATATTTTTATTTTTACTAACAGGTCACCATAGATGCCTCCATGGATACTTTATATTGGTGCAAAATTATTAAGGCTCCTGCTTTGTCGGAAAAAACATCATATTATTGGTTATGAAGCTTTGTTGACACGTGAAAGGTTGGTGTTTATATTATATAGTTTTTAAAATCCTCTTTAAAACCTTAAATTTACAAACATTTTTTATTTATTTAACTCTTTATGTTTGTGACATTTTTTATATTGCTCAGACAAGTATATGTCATTAGACTTACAAATGTGTGCAACAGAAAGATATGACAAGAATGTCATATCTGAAAATTTCGATTAGACATCGACACTAGTTAAGTGATAATTCAGTTCTAGTTCAGTTCTAGTTCAGTTCTAGTTCAGTTCTAGTTCAGTTCTAGTTCAGTTCTAGTTCAGTTCTAGTTCAGTTCTAGTTCAGTTCTAGTTCAGTTCAGTTCTAGTTCAGTTCTGGTTCAGTTCTAGTTCAGTTCTAGTTCAGTTCTAGTTCAGTTCTAGTTCAGTTCTAGTTCTAGTTCAGTTCTAGTTCAGTTCTAGTTCAGTTCTAGTTCAGTTCTAGTTCAGTTCTAGTTCAGTTCTAGTTCAGTTCTAGTTCAGTTCTAGTTCAATTCTAGTTCAATTCTAGTTGAGTTCAATTCTAGTTGAGTTCTAGTTCTAGCTCAGTTCTAGTTCTAGCTCAGTTCTAGTTCAGTTCTAGTTCAGTTCTAGTTCAGTTCTAGTTCAGTTCTAGTTTCAATTCTAGTTCAGTTCTAGTTCAGTTCTAGTTCAGTTCTAGTTCAGTTCTAGTTCAATTCTAGTTCAGTTCTAGTTCAGTTCTAGTTCAGTTCTAGTTCAGTTTCTAGTTCAGTTCTAGTTCAGTTCTAGTTCAGTCTAGTTCAGTTCTAGTTCAGTTCTAGTTCAGTTCTAGTTCAGTTCTAGTTCAGTTCTAGTTCAGTTCTAGTTCAGTTCTAGTTCAGTTCTAGTTCAGTTCTAGTTCAGTTCTAGTTTCAGTTCTAGTTCAGTTCTAGTTCAGTTCTAGTTCAGTTCTAGTTCAGTTCTAGTTCAGTTCTAGTTCAGTTCTAGTTCAGTTCTAGTTCAGTTCTAGTTCAGTTCTAGTTCAGTTCTAGTTCAGTTCTAGTTCAGTTCTAGTTCAGTTCTAGTTCAGTTCTAGTTCAGTTCTAGTTCAGTTCTAGTTCAGTTCTAGTTCAGTTCTAGTTCAGTTCTAGTTCAGTTCTAGTTCAGTTCTAGTTCAGTTCTAGTTCAGTTCTAGTTCAGTTCTAGTTCAGTTCTAGTTCAGTTCTAGTTCAGTTCTAGTTCAGTTCTAGTTCAGTTCTAGTTCAGTTCTAGTTCAGTTCTAGTTCAGTTCTAGTTCAGTTCTAGTTCTAGTTCAGTTCTAGTTCAGTTCTAGTTCAGTTCTACTTCAGTTCTAGTTCAGTTCTAGTTCAGTTCTAGTTCAGTTCTAGTTCAGTTCTAGTTCAGTTCTAGTTCAGTTCTAGTTCAGTTCTAGTTCAGTAATAGTTCAGTTCTAGTTCAGTTCTAGTTCAGTTCTAGTTCAGTTCTAGTTCAGTTATAGTTCAGTTATAGTTCAGTTATAGTTCAGTTCTAATTCAGTTCTAAATTTTGAGTTATTACTTTCTTATCACAAATGAGTATTCATATGTATAAGTACATACATTGGTTGTGTGTCTTTGCGCAAAAAATTACCATAATATTATATATCTTTCACAAACAGTAATAAATTGTACGACATGAATAGTTGGTCACTAGAAACAGCGATTCCCAAAAAATCACTTTGTATACCGTTAATATTTAACAGAAAATGTTTATTATAAGAATATCAAGAATCTGTTTTCTTATATTGCGATCTGCATAATAACTTCTCTAGCATTTGGGATTATTATAAAATTGTTTGAGCATCTCTAACCGAGAGCATTAACCCAGAGAAAAGGCAACTAAAGGCAAACAAATTTCACTTATAACATAGACATTTAGGGTTTTGAGCACGAAGAAATTCCGAAAAAATGCTGCTCAATATATTCTTTCACGTTTTTTGCTATAATCTCGGAATTCACTCTATATAGGCCATATTATAGACTATATACATACATATAGACTATATAGGCTAAAGTCTAAGATTTAAGCGAAACAATAGGCTAGACAATAGGCCATTCCATAATCCAGACTTTAGTCCTGACTATAGTTCAAACTAAAGGCCAGACCGTAGTCCATACTATAATCCAGATTATAGCAAAACTATAATACAAGCTATAGACACGACATTAGTTCAGACTTTAGACCAGATTATAGTTTAGACTAAAGGCTAGACTATAATCAAGACTATAGCTAGACTATAGTACAAACTATAGACACGACTTTAATTCAGACTATAGCCCAGACTAATAATGTAGATTATAGCCAAACTATAGTACAAACTATAGGAAAGATTTTAGTTCAGGCCATAGTCCAGACTATAATCTGGATTATAGCCAAATTATAGACAAGGCTTTAGTTCAGAGTATAGTTCAGACTATAGTTCAGACTATAGTTTAGACTATAGTTCAGACTATAGTTCAGACTAAGGGCCAGATTATAGTCCAGAATATAGCCCAGACTATAATCAAAAATATAATAGAAATTTTTGAATCACTTTTCATTATTTAGTAAATTCCTAATAAATTTCAAGAATAAAAAATCTTGAGAAATTTGAAAACCCTAAATAACTTGATTATATATTCAGATTGCTAACTATTAAAATCATACAAATCTATTAAATTATTGTGGACCAAAAAAAAGAGCTGTTCAAAACCATGTAATAGTAGAATTTTACAAAATCTGTCACTGTCAACTGATAAAGAACCCAGCAGGAGAAATTACATTGAAGTAACCAAAACATAATGTATGAAATAATTCAATTCCTATACCCTGAAAATAACTATATAGTGATAACTGTAATAGACATTTTATTAGAAAATTTAAAAATTTAAGTGATTTTATTCTCTACTTCTCATTATAGTGGCGCTACACAACCTTTGGTCCATCATATGACACTATTTGAATGTTCTACTAAATCATACCCCGGCTCAGATCCAGCCTCTTGGGATGTTTGGGTAAAGAGTAGTGGTGCAGTGTGTAATAGTAATTTATTAACCCCACGTGATTGGGATGCTTGTATTACACCAGTGGCAGTATGGTCAATTGGCTCCTCAGGTAAGAAAAAAAGAAAAGAAATCTGCAAATATTTTTATATGAAATTCTGAGAATTTTTCTCTCTGTCCTGTTTGGTTAATGAAAACATATTTTTTACTTACATATACATACATACCTATAATCATGTTTATTTTGTTTAATATTTTTTTACTCTAGGACAATTTTTACCACCCCATGTTGGCATACCAGTGGGTGGTAAAACGGGCCCTAAATATTATATGCTAGAAATACACTATGATAATCCTCATGCTCTTAAATGTAAGTACTTATTTCATTCATTCTTTTGCCAACGTTGACAACAACACTTTTTTGAACTGCCATTATAACTGCTGCTGTTGATGAGAGTAAAATAAGTTTGTCATACATTTTGAAACACAACATTGATTAATATTTATTAGGGTTTAAGCATAAACTATAGACGACAGGATATTGAAGACTTATCAAATTAGTGCAGGAGTTTGTAAAACATTTTTATTATTTTTGTTGGAAAAAAAAATGAGATGGTTCATAATAATGAATAATTTAGACAACTCAAGTATTTGTTAAAGATGAGTAATAGTTTTTTTTTTTGGTATATAAATTTAATGGTGGATTATGTTTATACTAGTTTTAACAGGGATTTTGAAGGTTATGTAGTTTGACAGATCACAAATCATATTTTTGGGAAGAAAAGTAAGAAATAAAGTAAAAAGCCTTAATAAAGAAGGTGAAATATTAATGTTTGAAGACAGAAAGCTCTACTATAGACTACACTATAGATTGATCAAGAGACTAGAATATAGGGTGCATTATAGACTTGATTATGTTCTGTCCCTAGTCCGCAATATATTTTATTCTATGGTATAGATAATACAACAGATTATAGTATTGACTATAGTCTAGTCTATAGTCCAGAATATAGTATTTTCCATAGTCAACACTATAGTCTAGTCAATAGTCCAGACTATATACAGAAAGCACTACTATAGACTACACAATATATTGATCAAGAGACTAGACTATAACTTGCATTATAGATTAGACTATAGCGTGTATTATAGACTTGATTATAGTCCTGTCACTAGTCCGGAATATATTTTATTCTATAGTATAGATAATAGGACAGACCATAGTCCTTACTATAATCCTGACTACAGTCTAGATTATAGTTCTTACTATAGTCTTGACTATAGTCCTTGCTATAGTCTAGTCTATAGTCCACACTATATTCTAGTCTATAGTCCGTACTATAGTCTAGTCTATAATCAGTACTATAGTCTAGTCTTTAATCTAGATTGTAGTCTAGTTCAGTTCTAGTTCAGTTTTAGTTCAGTTCTAGTTCAGTTTTAGTTCTAGTTCAGTTCTAGTTCAGTTCTAGTTCAGTTCTAGTTCAGTTCTAGTTCAGTTCTAGTTCAGTTATAATTCAGTTATAATTCAGTTCTAGTTCAGTTCTAGTTCAGTTCTAGTTCAGTTCTAGTTCAGTTCTAGTTCAGTTCTAGTTCAGTTCTAGTTCAGTTCTAGTTCAGTTCTAGTTCAGTTCTAGTTCAGTTCTAGTTCAGTTCTAGTTCAGTTCTAGTTCAGTTCTAGTTCAGTTCTAGTTCAGTTCTAGTTCAGTTCTAGTTCAGTTCTAGTTCAGTTCTAGTTCAGTTCTAGTTCAGTTCTAGTTCAGTTCTAGTTCAGTTCTAGTTCAGTTCTAGTTCAGTTCTAGTTCAGTTCTAGTTCAGTTTTACTTCAGTTCTAGTTCAGTTCGTTCAGTTCTAGTTCAGTTCTAGTTCAGTTCTAGTTCAGTTCTAGTTCAGTTCTAGTTCAGTTCTAGTTCAGTTCTAGTTCAGTTCTAGTTCAGTTCTAGTTCAGTTCTAGTTCAGTTCTAGTTCAGTTCTAGTTCAGTTCTAGTTCAGTTCTAGTTCAGTTCTAGTTCAGTTCTAGTTCAGTTCTAGTTCAGTTCTAGTTCAGTTCTAGTTCAGTTCTAGTTCAGTTCTAGTTCAGTTCTAGTTCAGTTCTAGTTCAGTTCTAGTTCAGTTCTAGTTCAGTTCTAGTCAGTTAGTTCTAGTTATAGTCAGTTCTAGTTCAGTTCTAGTTCAGTTCTAGTTCTAGTTCTAGTTCAGTTCTAGTTCAGTTCTAGTTCAGTTCTAGTTCAGTTCTAGTTCAGTCTAGTTCAGTTCTAGTTCAGTTCTAGTTCCAGTTCTAGTTCAGTTCTAGTTCAGTTCTAGTTCAGTTCTAGTTCAGTTCTAGTTCAGTTCTAGTTCTATCAGTTCTAGTTCAGTTCTAGTTCAGTTCTAGTTCAGTTCTAGTTCATTCTTAGTTCTGTCAATTCTAGGTCTTTCTTAGTACAGTTCTAGTTCATGTTCTAGGTCAGTTCTAGGTCAGTTCTAGGTCATTTCTAGGTCAGTTCTAGTTCAGTTCTAGTTCAGTTCTAGTTCAGTTCTAGGTCAGTTCTAGTCAGTTCTAGTTCAGTTCTAGTTCAGTTCTAGTTCAGTTCTAGTTCAGTTCTAGTTCAGTTCTAGTTCAGTTCTAGTTCAGTTCTAGTTCAGTTCTAGTTCAGTTCTAGTTCAGTTCTAGTTCAGTTCTAGTTCAGTTCTAGTTCAGTTCTAGTTCAGTTCTAGTTCAGTTCTAGTTCAGTTCTAGTTCAGTTCTAGTTCAGTTCTAGTTCAGTTCTAGTTCAGTTCTAGTTCAGTTCTAGTTCAGTTCTAGTTCAGTTCTATTTCAGTTCTAGTTCAGTTCTAGTTCAGTTCTAGTGCAGTTCTAGTTTAGTTCTAGTTTAGTTCTAGTTCAGTTCTAGTTCCGTTCTAGTTCAGTTCTAGTTCAGTTCTAGTTCAGTTCTAGTTCAGTTCTAGTTCAGTTCTAGTTCAGTTCTAGTTCAGTTCTAGTTCAGTTCTAGTTCAGTTCTAGTTCAGTTCTAGTTCAGTTCTAGTTCAGTTCTAGTTCAGTTCTAGTTCAGTTCTAGATCAGTTCTTGGCAGTAGTCTTGTCTTCAGTTCAGAATATAGTCTAGGTTAGTCCAGAATATACATTGTCTACTCCAATCTGTAGTCCAGTATATAGTCTATCCTATAGTTCAGACTATATTCTAGTCTATATTCCTGACTATAGTCTAGGGTGTTTCCAAAGTCTTTGTAAATCTGACGTTTTAAATTTATAGCTATTTATTCAATTTAAAAACGAAAATATTTTCTGCAGGCGACACCTCAACCGCACACAAAAATTCCCATTACAGTTTTACTCAATGAAAAATTGTATACAGACCTTACAACATACTTTACATACATATATGTACATACATATTTGATCCAAGTATAATTTTATAAATATGTAATTTTTTTTTCTTTCCCCCCTTTTACAGCTTCAGACCATTCAGGTTTTCGCATACACTATAGTAAACATTTGCGCCAACATGATGGTGGCGTTATGATATCAGGCGTTTCTGTTTCGGATACACAATTAATACCACCAGGTCAAAAGCTTTATCGTAATGTTGGCATCTGTGGTCCTTCGTGTTCGAATGAGGTAAGTTGTAATGGCATTGAGTTTAGTGTCGACTTTTTCGGCTTATTTTGTGATATTTTTTGCAAATATGTTTAATTCTATATTCGTTGTTCTCTTTAAATTAAAGATGTTTCCTAAAGATGGCATAAAAATAATTTCCGGTACTTTGCACTCACATCGTGCAGGCCGCAAAATGACTTTAAGACATGTACGCGATGGCAAGGAATTGCCACGTATTATTGAAGATGATAATTATGATTATAACTATCAACAAGTGCGGCAATTGGAAAATGAAACTGTAGTTCTGCCGGGAGATTATATAATAACGGATTGTGCTTATGAGGTGAGTTGAAAAAAGATATCAAGTAAAATCTTTTTCTTCATATAAATTTGTCTGTAGTCCACGTTATAGTCTAGTATATAGTCCAGACTGTAATATCGTCGATAGGCTAGTCCTGACTAAGGTCCAGTCTATAATCTATAGTCTAGTCTATAGTCTAGTCTATATTCTAGTTTATAGTCTAGTCTATAGTGTAGTCTATAGTGTAGTCTATAGTCTAGTCTATAGTCTAGTCTATAGGCTAGCCTATAGTCTAGTCTATAGTCCTAGTCTATATCTAGTCTATAGTCTAGTTTGTAGTCTAGTCTATTGTCTAGTCAATTGTCTAGTCTATAGTCTAGTCTATAGTCTAGTCTATAGTCTAGTCTATAGTCTAGTCTATAGTCTAGTCTATAGTCTAGTCTATAGTCTAGTCTATAGTCTAGGTCTATAGTCTAGTCTATAGTCCTAGTCTATAGTCTAGTCTATAGTCTAGTCTATAGTCTAGTCTATAGTCTAGTCTATAGTCTAGTCTATAGTCTAGTCTATAGTCTAGTCTATAGTCTAGTCCTATAGTCTAGTCTATAGATCTAGTCTATAGTCTAGTCTATAGTCTAGTCTATAGTCTAGTCTATAGTCTAGTCTATAGTCTAGTCTATAGTCTAGTCTATAGTCTAGTCTATATCCGAGTCTATAGTCTAGTCTATAGTCTAGTCTATAGTCCTAAGTCTATAGTCTAGAGTCTATAGTCTAGTCTATAGTCTAGTCTATAGTCCTAGTCTATAGTCTAGTCTATAGTCTAGTCTATAGTCTAGTCTATAGTCTAGTCTATAGTCTAGTCTATAGTCTAGTCTATAGTCTAGTCTATAGTCTAGTCTATAGTCTAGTCTATAGTCTAGTCTATAGTCTAGTCTATAGTCTAGTCTATAGTCTAGTCTATAGTCTAGTCTATAGTCTAGTCTATAGTCTAGTCTATAGTCTAGTCTATAGTCTAGTCTATAGTCTAGTCTATAGTCTAGTCTATAGTCTAGTCTATAGTCTAGTCTATAGTCTAGTCTATAGTCTAGTCTATAGTCTAGTCTATAGTAGTAATAGTCTAGTCTATAGTCTAGTCTATAGTCTAGTCTATAGTCTAGTCTATAGTCTAGTCTATAGTCTAGTCTATAGTCTAGTCTATAGTCTAGTCTATAGTCTAGTCTATAGTCTAGTCTATAGTCTAGTCTATAGTCTAGTCTATAGTCTAGTCTATAGTCTAGTCTATAGTCTAGTCTATAGTCTAGTCTATAGTCTAGTCTAGTCTAGTCTAGTCTAGTCTAGTCTATAGTCTAGTCTAGAGTCTAGTCTATAGTCTAGTCTATAGTCTAGTCTATAGTCTAGTCTATAGTCTAGTCTATAGTCTAGTCTATAGTCTAGTCTATAGTCTAGTCTATAGTCTAGTCTATAGTCTAGTCTATAGTCTAGTCTATAGTCTAGTCTATAGTCTAGTCTATAGTCTAGTCTATAGTCTAGTCTATAGTCTAGTCTATAGTCTAGTCTATAGTCTAGTCTATAGTCTAGTCTATAGTCTAGTCTATAGTCTAGTCTATAGTCTAGTCTATAGTCTAGTCTATAGTCTAGTCTATAGTCTAGTCTATAGTCTAGTCCTATAGTCTAGTCTAAGCTATCTAGTCTAGTCTATAGTCTAGTCTATAGTCTAGTCTATTAGGTCTAGTCTATAGTCTAGTCTATAGTCTAGTCTATAGTCTAGTCTATAGTCTAGTCTATAGTCTAGTCTATAGTCTAGTCTATAGTCTAGTCCTATAGTCTAGTCTATAGTCTAGTCTATAGTCTAGTCTATTAGTCTATAGTCTAGTCATAGTCTAGTCCTATAGTCCTAGTCTATAGTCTAGTCTATAGTCTAGTCTATAGTCTAGTCTATAGTCTAGTCTATAGTCTAGTCTATAGTCTAGTCTATAGTCTAGTCTATAGTCTAGTCTATAGTCTAGTCTATAGTCTAGTCTATAGTCTAGTCTATAGTCTAGTCTATAGTCTAGTCTATAGTCTAGTCTATAGTCTAGTCTATAGTCTAGTCTATAGTCTAGTCTATAGTCTAGTCTATAGTATAGTCTAGTCTATAGTCTAGTCTATAGTCTAGTCTATAGTCTAGTCTATAGTCTAGTCTATAGTCTAGTCTATAGTCTAGTCTATAGTCTAGTCTATAGTCTAGTCTATAGTCTAGTCTATAGTCTAGTCTATAGTCTAGTCTATAGTCTAGTCTATAGTCTAGTCTATAGTCTAGTCTATAGTCTAGTCTATAGTCTAGTCTATAGTCTAGTCTATAGTCTAGTCTATAGTCTAGTCTATAGTCTAGTCTATAGTCTAGTCTATAGTCTAGTCTATAGTCTAGTCTATAGTCTAGTCTATAGTCTAGTCTATAGTCTAGTATAGTCTAGTCTATAGTCTACTCTATAGTCTAGTCTATAGTCTAGTCTATAGTCTAGTCTATAGTCAGTCTATAGTCTAGTCTATGGTCTAGTCTATAGTCTAGTCTATAGTCTAGTCTATAGTCCAGTCTATAGTCTAGTCTATAGTCTAGTCTATAGTCTAGTCTATAGTCTAGTCTATAGTCTAGTCTATAGTCTAGTCTATAGTCTAGTCTATAGTCTAGTCTATAGTCTAGTCTATAGTCTAGTCTTAGTCTAGTCTATAGTCTAGTCTATAGTCTAGTCTATAGTCTAGTCATAGTCTAGTCTATAGTCTAGTCTATAGTCTAGTCTATAGTCTAGTCTATAGTCTAGTCTATAGTCTAGTCTATAGTCTAGTCTATAGTCTAGTCTATAGTCTAGTCTATAGTCTAGTCTATAGTCTAGTCTAGAGTCTAGTCTATAGTCTAGTCTATAGTCTAGTCTATAGTCTAGTCTATAGTCTAGTCTATAGTCTAGTCTATAGGCTAGTCTATAGTCTAGTCTATAGTCATATGTCTACCCTAGTCTAGTCTATAGTCTAGCTAGTCTAGTCTATAGTCTAGTCTATATCTAGTCTCTAGTCTAGTCTATAGTCTAGTCTATAGTCTAGTCTATAGTCTAGTCTATAGTCTAGTCTATAGTCTAGTCTATAGTCTAGTCTATCGTCTCGTCTATAGTCTAGTCTATAGTCTGTCTATAGTCTAGTCTATAGTCTAGTCTATAGTCTAGTCTATAGTCTAGTCTATAGTCTAGTCTATAGTCTAGTCTATAGTCTAGTTATAGTCTAGTCTATAGTCTAGTCTATAGTCTAGTCTATAGTCTAGTCTATAGTCTAGTCTATAGTCTAGTCTATAGTCTAGTCTATAGTCTAGTCTATAGTCTAGTCTATAGTCTAGTCTATAGTCTAGTCTATAGTCTAGTCTAAGTCTAGTCTATAGTCTAGTCTATAGTCTAGTCTATAGTCTAGTCTATTAGTCTAGTCTATAGTCTAGTCTATGTCTAGTCTATAGTCTAGTCTTAGTCTAGTAGTCTAGTCTAGTCTCTAGTCTAGTCTATAGATAGTTCTATAGTATATTCTATAGTCTAGTCTATAGTCTAGTCTATAGTCTAGTTCTATCGTCTAGTCTTCTATAGTTCTAGTCTATAGTCTAGTCTATAGTCTAGTCTATAGTCTAGTCTATAGTCTAGTCTATAGTCTAGTCTATAGTCTAGCTTATAGTGTCTATAGTCTATATAGTCTAGTCTATAGTCTAGTCTATAGTCTAGTTCTATTAGTCTAGTCTATAGTCTAGTCTATGTCTAGTCTATAGTCTAGTCTATAGTCTAGTCTATAGTCTAGTCTATAGTCTAGTCTATAAGTCTAGTCTATAGTTCTAGTCTCTAGTCTAGTCTATAGTCTAGTCTATAGTCTAGTCTATAGTCTAGTCTATAGTCTAGTCTATAGTTAGTCTATTAGTCTGTCTATAGTCTAGTATGTCTATAGTCTAGTCTATAGTCTAGTCTATAGTCTAGTCTATAGTCTAGTTCTATAGGTCTAGGTCTATAGTCTAGTCTATAGTCTAGTCTATAGTCTAGTCTATAGTCTAGTCTATAGTCTAGTCTATAGTCTAGTCTATAGTCTAGGTCTATAGTCTAGTCTATAGTCTAGTCTATAGTCTAGTCTATAGTCTAGTCTATAGTCTAGTCTAGTAGTCTATAGTCTAGTCTATAGTCTAGTCTATAGTCTAGTCTATAGTCTAGTCTATAGTCTAGTCTATAGTCTAGTCTATAGTCTAGTCTATAGTCTAGTCTATAGTCTAGTCTAGTCTAGTCTATAGTCTAGTCTATAGTCTAGTCTACAGTCTAGTCTATAGTCTAGTCTATAGTCTAGTCTATAGTCTAGTCTATAGTCTAGTCTATAGTCTAGTCTATAGTCTAGTCTATAGTCTAGTCTATAGTCTAGTCTATAGTCTAGTCTATAGTTAGTCTATAGTCTAGTCTATAGTCTAGTCTATAGTCTAGTCTATAGTCCAGTCTTTAGACAACATTAAGTTTTAAAATAACTGAACCATTATAACTATAATCAAAATTTCCCTTTTGCAGACTTCCTCACGCAAGCGTCCCACCTTTGGCGGCTATTCGACTAAACAGGAAATGTGCTTGTCTTTTATCACTTATTATCCGCGCATAGAATTGGCCGGTTGCTATAGCATGACTCCAGTTCGAGAATTTTTCGAAACTTTTGGTGTTTATCAATTCTATTCATTAAATATGACCGATGTGGAAAATCTATTTTTATACAATGGCAATGTTTTGGACTATATACCCAATACTATCTATGCTAAGACAAAACCCAATAGGGTTAATATGACCGAGGAAGATATATTGTATGAGGAGTCTTTATTGAGTAAGTAAAAACTTCTTTTAGTTCTAAGGGACAATTTTTAAACTAATTTTTATGATATTTTTAATATTTTAGATAAATTAATCATTTCTGATCCTGTGGAGTTTCATGATCGTACTTTCCTGTCTCATCTTAACCAATTACCCTGGTCTGAACCTTTATTTACCAAACGAGTGGAGCAGAGCATGATTAATGGCAAACATATGACGTTTTGTCGGGTTTCGAATGATGCTGTATCTATTGTAAGTTATATCTTAATATTTTTGATTCAAAATTGTCTTTAAAAGAGAAAATTATTGAAAATATCCATATAGTATATATTAGCTCCTGTTTTATTAACTGATTTCTCTCTTTGTATTTTAGCCCTCCGAAATTATACGTTATCCAAATTTCACCACCTTTGTTAAGCCCCCCAGCATTTGCCCCTATCAGCTGTTAATGGATAGTTCACCTTTAAGTTCCCTGGCCTTAGGTTTAAGTTTAAATAAATTATTTTTATTATTTATTAGTTTTAATTTATTTATTATAAATTATTTTGTATTTTAATTTCACAATAGAATGCTCAACTCAATGAATTTCATAAAAAATAAATCCTGTTTGTATATAGAAATTCACTCAAAGTATTACTTAGATATAGAGCTATAAGTTAAAATTTCAAACCCCTAAAATATTGGAAAAAAATTTACAAAAAAATATTAAAAAAATTTAACGTTTTTAAAAAAATTTACTAATTTTCATAAAACAAATTAAATTTTTAACAAAATTTCTTTTACTAGTATTTAAAATACTATATCAAAGCCCAAATTTCAGAACCCCTGTTCTAGTTTTAAGTATTTTTCATTTCCCATATTTATAAAGACCTTCTCTTGACTTTAGTTTATCTTAAATACCTTGAAAAGTTTCCCTCATAATGTTCCGTAACAGTAAAATTAGTTTTTTAACGTTTCGTTTTATAAATGAGTATTGAGTCATAAATTTTAAGGTCTTGAAAAGTCATTTAATTTTATATATAATTATATATATTTAGTTATAATCATGTTTATATTAAAAAAACACTTTAAAAATTTTACAGTTTCAAAAAAATTCAAAGAAAAATAAGTAAAATTACCAGATTCTGACAAAGATCAAGGGTCTCGTGGTTAAAGTCCTTATTCATAATAAATGTTTAAGTTTTTTATCTTCAATTTGTGTTAAAAATTTTTCATAAATTAATAGATCTTTTGGTAAAGATTTTACAAAATTACCTGGAAACTGTGAAAACTTTTAAGAGTTCTGCTGTACTTATTGTGACATGTTAAGTTTAGAATATTTTTACAATCCAAAGATTTAGTTTTTAAGTTTAGCTTGATAAGTTTAAGATATTTTTAATAAAAATTTAAAATAAACCGGAACTAACGCTGTGTGTTAATTAATAAAAACTAGTTGAGAATCTAGTATAACTCGGAATGGTTGGATTCTCTATATGTTAAACATGGACATGTAATATCCTGTAGATGTGTCGAGGCCTAGTCCATAGTTCACACTATATTCTAGTCTATAGACCATAGCCTAGATGTAATCAAGTCTATAGTTTGATCTATAGCTATAGTCCTCACTATGTCTAGTCTAATCTATAATCCAGGCTATACTCCAGTCTATAGTCTAGATTAAAGTTTACACATCTAATATGCAATTTAAGTCCAGAATGCTAGACTATAGTCTAATCAATAGTCCAGACTATAAACTAGTCTATATACCAGATTGTAGTTTAGTCTATATTCCGGACTATAGTATAGTCCAGACTATAATTTCTATTTCAGACTATAATATAGTCTATAGACCAGAAGAATATAGTCTAATCTATAGTTCAGACTACAGTCTATTCTATAGTTCAGACAAAAGTCCATAATTCATACTATGCAGTCGTTAGACGATGTTATAGTCTAGCCTATATTTCAGAAAATTGTCTAGTATATAGTTTAAACTATAATTGATAGCTTAGATAAGTCTAGTCAAGTCTATAGTCCAGCCTATAGTCTTGTTTATAGCCCAGCCTATAGTCTAGTTTATAGTCCAGCCTATAGTCTAGTCTGTTGTCCAGCATATAGTCTAGTCTATAGTCCAGCCTATAGTCTAGTCTATAGTCCAGCATATAGTCTAGTTTATAGTCCAGCCTATAGTCTAATCTGTAGTCCATCCTATAGTCTAGTCTATGTTCCAGCCTAGTCTATAGTCCAGCCTATAGTCTAGGAAAAATTCAAACAAGTGTTTAGTCCAGATAAAATCTAATATAAAGTCCAGACAATAGTATATAAAACAGAATATAGTCTATAGTCTTGTTTACAGTCCGGTCTATGGTCTAGTCAACAGTCCAGACTAAAGTCTAGTCAATAGTCCAGACTATAGTCTAGTCTATAATCCAAACTATAGTCTAGACTATAGTCTAGTATATAGTCCAGACTATAGTCTAGTCTATAGTCCATACTATAGTCTAGTCTATAGTCCAGACTATAGTCTAGTCTATAGTCCAGACTATAGTCTAGTCTATAGTCCAGACTATAGTCTGGTCTATAGTCCAGACTATAGTCTAGTCTATAGTCCAGACTATAATCTAGTCTATAGTCCAGACTATAATCTAGTCTATAGTCCAGACTATAGTCTAGTCTATAGTCCAGACTATAGTCTAGTCTATAGTCCAGACTATAGTCTAGTCTATAGTCCAGACTATAGTCTAGTCTATAGTCCAGACTATAGTCTAGTCTATAGTCCAAACTATAGTCTATTCTATAGACCAGACTATAGTCTAGTGTATAGTCCAGACTTTAATCCAGACTATAGTCTAGTCTATAGTTCAGACTATAATCTAGACTATAAAACAGAATATAGTCTATAGTCTAGTTTACAGTCCGGTCTATGGTCTAGTCAACAGTCCAGACTAAAGTCTAGTCAATAGTCCAGACTATAGTCTAGTCTATAGGCCAGATTATAGTCTAGTCATTAGCAACAACTATAGTCAAGTCTTCAGTCCAGATAAAATCTAGTATATATAAAACAGAATATGATCTATAGTCTTGTTTATAGTCCGGACTATAGTTTTGTCTATAGTCCAGCCTACAGTCTAGTCTATAGTCCAGCCTACAGTCTAGTCTATAGTCCAGATTATAGTCTAGTCTATAGTCCAGACTATAGTCTATTCTATAGACCAGACTATAGTCTAGTCTATAGTCCAGGCTATAATCCAGACTATAGTCTAGTCTATAGTACAGACTATAATCCAGACTACAGTCTAGTTTATAGTCCAGACTATAGTCTAGTCTTTAGTAAAAACTATAGTCAAGTGTTTAGTCCAGCTAAAATCTAATATAAAGTCCAGACAATAGTCTTTAAAACAGAATATAGTCTATAGTCTTGTTTATAGTCCGGACTATGGTCTAGTCAACAGTATAGACTAAAGTCTAGTCAATAGTCCAGACTATACTCTAGTCTATAATCCAGACTATAGTCTAGTCTATATTCCAGACTATAGTCTAGTCTATATTTCAGACTATTGTATAGTCCAAATTCCAGACAATTGTGGAATTTTAAAAAAATATTTCTCAAATTTTATAAGAAAGCGAAAATTTGCCAACTTTAATTTCGGTAATTTAAAAAATAATTTTGAATTTAACAGTTTAACTAAATTTATATTTTATGGTTTACCCTAAACAATCAAGACAAATTTTACTATAACTATCTCTCTCTAACACATACATTTTAAAGTAAATAACGTTTGATGATAAACTACAAATAGCTGTAAAAACTAGTAGTAAGGAGATAAATATTAAGAAATTTTTAAAACATATTAAATAAAACTAAATAAATTATCTAATAATTTGCAGTTAACATTTCAATAAATAATTTAATATTAGTATTTTTAATAATTTTCTAAAATTAAAGCAATTTAGAGGAAACTTTTTGAGAAAAAAGTATTAAATTCTTTAGTACATGAAAAATACAACTCTGTACCTCAATGACGTGGGCTTGTCAGAAATAGTAGTGAGAAAAAAATTAAAGAAAACACAAGAAAAGAAATCTGCCGACTGTCAGTGGAAAATTTAATTTTTACGAAAAAAAATTAGAATTTTTAAGAAAAATTCTTATAATTTTTAGTTGTAATATAAAGATTAATTAAATTTTTAATAATATTTGATGTTATTTTCAATTTAAAGTCTAAATATTATGTTTTCAAAGTGTTAAAAGAGATTTGGTTGTGTTTTTTTCCACAATTCCCCTTTTAACTTTTGTCATCTTTTTGGTTATTACAACTACAAAGAAAAAAGCAAATTATACTGATAAAATATTAGAAAATCTAGAATTAGAATAAAAACACAACCAAATGTAGGCAAAGGCCGCTTTAATAAGTGACGTGCATTTCCATTTTTTTTGTTCCCTTCTAGTAGTAGACAATCTTCTTAGCAGCGGCAGCAGCGAAAAAAAAATTAAAGAACATGAATTATAGAAAAAAATGAAATAATTAAAGTACGAAAGTCATATTAAAAAAAAGACGACGATAACACAAGATAATAGAAGAAGAGGAGTAAAGAAAAAGTGACGTGTGATTTTCTTTTTTTTTATTAGTTTTTAGTTTTCAATAATTTTTGTAATAAATTCCTTAAAAAAAAAACAAAACACCCTTTATTGGGGTTAAAAAACAACAACAACAACAACATTAACTAGTTACTAGAAATTTTGTAATTAGAAAATAAAAAACAGTATAGACAAGGAGGCTACAACAACAATAAAAAGAAATTTAAGTGGCAGAGAAGGAAGGTCGTAATCATAAGTAAATATGATGAATGAAGATACGACGGCGTCAACGTCATCCAGTGGCGGAGTGAAAAAGTTTTTTCTACGTATATCACAAGTATGATTTTTTTTTTTTTTTTTTATAAAAATTTAAATTTAATATTTTATTGCTTTCTAATAGATTTATCAATCTGCCTTGGATCGTTCTACACCCCATACAAAAGCACGTTGGATTGGTGCTGCCGTCTTAGTTTTAATCTTCCTGCTACGTATATTTTTAAATCAGGGCTGGTATATTGTTTGCTATGCTCTCGGTATTTATCATTTAAATTTATTTATTGCATTTTTAACACCTAAAATCGATCCTGAATTTGATCCATATGCCAATGAAGGTGAGTTTTTGAAATGTTTTCTCAATGTTTTATATATTTTGGTTCCTCCACTTTGCTAATTTGTTTTTTATTGATTTTTTTTTTTGGTTTGTTGTGATTTAAATATTCATCCAAATAAATGCGTTTGATAATGACATTGTCATGTGAAACTTTTTAATTTTTATAATTTTATATGAAATTTTTAATTTTTATAGAGATTTTTTACTAAAATTCTACTTCTACTTTAAAAAAAATTGATAAATTTTATATTTTTGTAGCAAAATTTTATATTTTTATCAAAATGTTCAGATAATTTTTATATGTATTATGTATTATAACAATTTTCTGTTCTAATTTATAGTTCACACTGTAATATAGAGTCCACACTATAATCTAGTCTATAGTCCAGACTATAGTCTAGTCTAATATATAAGCAATAGTCCATACAATAGTCTATTCTAGGGTTCAAACTCCTTTTTAGTAAACATGCATTGATCACTTTCTTTCTAGAACTATTTCTTTAAAATGTTCTTTTCTTTCAACATTATACTTTTTATTAAGAGTTTTTTTTTAAATTTTATTTTTATAGATAATTTTTTAATACAATTCTTCTTACGCCTCAGATTTGACAATAAATCTTTTAAAACTACTATTCATTTTAATATGTCTTAACAAAATTAGGTCATTTTTAATCTGATTAAAGGTTCAAAGTTGAAGTTCAAAACTTTATGAGTGTGTTTGTGTTTACAAATAAAATACTAGAAAATAAAAACAGATTTTAATACTTGTGCGACGCTTTAGTGCTTTTAAAAGTAAACACAATTTAAAAATTAACTAATAGTCTGCTGAAATTAAAAGTTGTTAGTGTTTTAGATTTAAAAACAAATAAAGTTTTAATTTTATTGCTCTTTTTTAATGTAAACATTACGATACAACAATTATTTTTTAAACTGTAACTATAAGTTGATGTGTATAGAATGCTATTTATCTATTCTGAAATTGTAACTTCAAATAAGTTATACAAAAACGATATGCCTTTTCTAATAACAATTAGAAAGGTTATATTAGTTCAACAAATTAAGTTATTAGGCAAGACAGTACGGAAATCATTAAAGGGGTAATTTGGTCTAACTATTTAATAAGTTTTAGAGTTAATAAATTGGAAATAGGACATTAAACATTCATAGGAGCCTCTCATTACGGAAAGATTGATGCCAATCATTGTATAATCACGTTTACGGTCTAGGTTATTGTCCAGTCTAGTCTATAGTCTAATCTGTAGTCAAGTCTATAAATCGTTTATGGTCTTGTCTACAATATAGTCAATAGTGTAGTCCAGTCTACGGTCTATTTCGTAGCCTGTCTAGTCTATAATCTAGTCTAGCCTATATTCTATGCTTTCGTTTAGGCTTTAGCCTTGTGATTAGTCTAGTTACTACCTAATCGGCAAAGAGCTTTGTTAAGAGCCTTCTTGCACTCTTAATTTCACATGCTTGTATGCATACACATGTATAAAAAACGATAAAAACCTGTAAGAGAACTTATTTTTTACTCTCTGCCGATATAGGGTCTATGTAGTATATAGCCTGATCAATATTCGAGCCTATATTCTATTAGTTAATCTAGTCTAAAATCCATTGTCTAGATTAAAGTCTGGCCTATATTCTAGTCTAGCATTGTTTACCTTCTATTCTACTCTACTCTTGTCTATAATCTAATAATCTAATATTAGTCTAATAATTTAAATGTAATATCTATATTAGTCTATAGTCCATTCTATTGTCTAGTCTGTAGACTACTTTTTAGTCTCGTCTATATTCTTACCTATAATTAAGTCTAAAGTTTAGCGCATAGTCTAGTCTGTAGTCTACAGTCTAGAATGTAGACTAGTCTATAATATAGTCTATAGTCTAGACTGTAATCTATTCTATAGTCTAGTCTATAGTCTAGTCTATAGTCTAGTCTATAGTCTAGTCTATAGTCTAGTCTATAGTCTAGTCTATAGTCTAGTCTATAGTCTAGTCTATAGTCTAGTCTATAGTCTAGTCTATAGTCTAGTCTATAGTCTAGTCTATAGTCTAGTCTATAGTCTAGTCTATAGTCTAGTCTATAGTCTAGTCTATAGTCTAGTCTATAGTTTAGTCTATAGTCTAGTCTATAGTCTAGTCTATAGTTAGTCTATAGTCTAGTCTATAGTCTAGTCTATAGTCTAGTCCTATAGTCTAGTCTATAGTCTAGTCTATAGTCTAGTCTATAGTCTAGTCTATAGTCTAGTCTATAGTCTAGTCTGATAGTCTAGTCTATAGTCTAGTCTATAGTCTAGTCTATAGTCTAGTCTATAGTCTAGTCTATAGTCTAGTCTATAGTCTAGTCTATAGTCTAGTCTAATAGTCTAGTCTATAGTCTAGTCTATAGTCTAGTCTATAGTCTAGTCTATAGTCTAGTCTATAGTCTAGTCTATAGTCTAGTCTATAGTCTAGTCTATAGTCTAGTCTATAGTCTAGTCTATAGTCTAGTCTATAGTCTAGTCTATAGTCTAGTCTATAGTCTAGTCTATAGTCTAGTCTATAGTCTAGTCTATAGTCTAGTCTATAGTCTAGTCTATAGTCTAGTCCTATAGTCATAGTCTAGTCTATAGTCTAGTCTATAGTCTAGTCTATAGTCTAGTCTATAGTCTAGTCTATAGTCTAGTCTATAGTCTAGTCTATAGTCTAGTCTATAGTCAGTCTATAGTCTAGTCTATAGTCTAGTCTATAGTCTAGTCTATTAGTCTAGTCTAGTCTATAGTCTAGTCTATAGTCTAGTCTATAGTCTAATATATAGTCAGTCTATAGTCTAGTCTATAGTCTAGTCTATAGTCTAGTCTATAGTCTAGTCTATAGTCTAGTCTATAGTCTAGTCTATAGTATAGTCTATAGTCTAATATATAGTCAAGTCTATAGTCTAGTCTATAGTCTAGTCTATAGTCTAGTCTATAGTCTAGTCTAATAGTCTAGTCTAGTCTATAGTCTAGTCTATAGTCTAGTCTATAGTCTAGTCTATAGTCTTGTCTATAGTCTAGTCTATAGTCTGGTCTATAGTCTAGTCTATAGTCTTGTCTATAGTCTAGTCTATAGTCTAGTCTATAGTCTAGTCTATTATAGTCTAGTCTATAGTCTAGTCTATAGTCTAGTCTATAGTCTAGTCTATAGTCTAGTCTATAGTCTAGTCTATAGTCTAGTCAATAGTCTAGTCTATAGTCTAGTCTATAGTCTAGTCTATAGTCTAGTCTATAGTCTAGTTTATAGTCTAATCTATAGTCTGGTCTATAGTATAATCTATAGTCTAGTCTATAGTCTAGTCTATAGTCTAGTCTATAGTCTAGTCTATAGTCTAGTCTATAGTCTAGTTTATAGTCTAGTCTATAGTCTAGTCTATAGTCTAGTCTATAGTCTAGTCTATAGTCTAGTCTATAGTCTAGTCTATAGTCTAGTCTATAGTCTAGTCTATAGTCTAGTCTATAGTCTAGTCTGTAGTCTAGTCTATAGTCTAGTCTATAGTCTAGTCTATAGTCTAGTCTATAGTCTAGTCTATAGTCTAGTCTATAGTCTAGTCTATAGTCTAGTCTATAGTCTAGTCTATAGTCTAGTCTATAGTCTAGTCTATAGTAGTCTAGTCTATAGTCTAGTCTATAGTCTAGTCTATAGTCTAGTCTATAGTCTAGTCTATAGTCTAGTCTATAGTCTAGTCTATAGTCTAGTCTATAGTCTAGTCTATATTCTAGTCTATAGTCTAGTCTATAGTCTAGTCTATAGTCTAGTCTATAGTCTAGTCTATAGTCTAGTCTATAGTCTAGTCTATAGTCTAGTCTATAATCTAGTCTATAATCTAGTCTATAATCTAGTCTATAGTCTAGTCTATAGTCTAGAATGTAGTCTAGTTTATAGTCTAGTCTATAGTCTAGTCTATAGTCTAGTCTATAGTCTTGTTGATAGTGTAGTCTAGTATAGTCTAAAGTCTAGTATATAGTCTAGTCTATAGTCAAGTCTATAGTCTAGTCTACAGTCTACATTCTAGTCTATAGTTAAGTCTGCAGTCTAGATTTTGGTCGAGTCTGTAATATATTGTATAATCCTATATATACTGTAGTCCATAGTCTAGTCTATAGTCCAGTTTGTATTCTAGTCTATAGTACAGTCTGTAGTATAAAGTCTGCAGTCTAGTCTATAGTTTAGTTTATAGTCTAGTCTATAGTCCAGTCATTAGCCTAGTCTGTAGTTTACCCATAGATCTTTTTATCTATCTATCTATCTATCTATCTATCTATCTATCTATCTATCTATCTATCTATCTATCTATCTATCTATCTATCTATCTATCTATCTATCTATCTATCTATCTATCTATCTATCTATCTATCTATCTATCTATCTATCTATCTATCTATCTTTCAATTGTAGAAGTATATTAATTAATCAAATTGTTTCTCTTCCCTCTCTTTCTATTCCAGATGATGGTCCAAATTTACCAACCCGAAGCAATGAAGAATTTCGGCCGTTTATACGACGTTTGCCAGAATTTAAATTCTGGTTAAGCATTACAAAAAGTACATTAATTGCAGTCATATGTACATTCTTTGAATGCTTTAATATACCAGTATTTTGGCCCATACTGGTTATGTACTTTATAACCTTATTCTGTATAACAATGAAGAGACAAATAAAGGTAAGATTAAAAAAAAAGAAAAACACCAAACAAATAGATTGCTCAAAAATTATAATAAATTTCTTGTTTACTTTTTTAGCATATGATTAAATATAAATATTTGCCTTTCACCCGCAATAAGCCACGTTATCAACGTGTGCCTGAGCCAACAGCGGCAGCAACAAAGTGACAATTAGCCGCACAGACATTGCCAGCAACTACAAGCGATAAAATAGAGGAAAGTACCACCATCAGCAATGACACAACAAAATCCTTGGGTTCAGCTACAACATTATTAACCTCCTCCTCATCCTCAGCAATAGCAACAAACACTACAAGAGCAGCAGCAGCATCAACAGTAACTAATGTAGCAAAACCACCGCAAATTATAATGATTGATGAATGATTGAATGTAATAATAAATTCATAAAAGAAAGTACACAAAAGAACAAACAACAAAAAAAAAAAAAGAACCAAATATGTTTTGAATTTATTTCATTTTTATATGAAACAGAAAACTTCTTTTTAATTTTCTCTTAACTTTTGTTTATTTGTGTATTATTGTGGTATTATTTATTAGTTACTCATTTCTTACAACTATTCTATACTAAAGTTGTCTAAATAATTTTTAATTATTTGTATAGTTTATGTGTTTGTGTGTCACGTTGCAATAACAATGTCTTGTGCATATAATGAAAGTTAGAAATTATTAATATTTGATTTCTATCTAAAACAAAATGCAAATTTTATTAATAGTAGAACTTTTTAAAATACTTGTTTAAATTACTACTAGAAAATGTCTTTATTGTGTTTTTATCTTTTATTTAATAATAATTTACCAAAAAAAATAATCTATACATTTTCTTAAAATTAATTTTTTGTTTGTTTTTTTTTTCTCCTTTACTTAAGTTTAATTTAAAATATAAATATAATTTTCTTTCAGCCACAAAATCTAGGTTTTTGTTAAACTTTATTTTTGTAATTTTTTTCTGTATTAAATTTATAATTTCTTTTCACTGTAATATAAAAACAACAACCAAACAAACAAGAAAATTGAAATAAAACTATATGGTAAAATAGTATTATGGTTTTGTAGTTTTAATTTTGTGTTTTTTTTATTCTATTTTAAACTAAATAAGATCTTTTAACAAATCAAAAATTTTCCTAATAATTTTTTGATAAGAGTTTTTGTTTGTAGCAATAGTTAGTAGCAAATTTTGTTAATTTTTTATTCTATTCTTAAAGCATGTTTTCTTTTTTTCTGTTTGTATGTTCATTATTTGTTCATTCATTAAAAATTCATTTCATTATTTGAAAAAGCAAAACTGTCGTTCGTCTGACTGACTGATTGTATGTATGTCTGTGCTGTGAAAGTGTATTTTTCCAATAAAAAAAGAAACAAAATAACAAAACAAATCAAATGCTAATTAATTATCTAAAATCACGTGAATGAGTCAATGGTTGACGTTACAACTTTGTATTGCAAAACATAAAATGAATTATTTCATCACAAAAGGTCATTTTTATAAAATTTCAATATTTGATTTCAAATTCTATCTATTTATTTATCTATCTA